TGAACGCCGACTCGAGCGATGTGGTTATTTTCCTTGGGTTGTTAAAAATAAATAAAATTTTCGATGGCTTAAAAAGTGGGTCGAGACCACCTTGACCCCTCCGCCTCGGATCCACTCATGTCATAGAGGACGGACATATTGAGAAATAGCCTCAGAGAACATACGTCGTTAACCTGGAAGCGTTGATCCTGTACGGTTAATGTTCACCTACATATGTATACTGTTTATTAATTGAAAGAAAATATTAAAACTTCAGCGTGAATAAAATCCTCAGCAAACTATTTTCATTTGTCTCATTCATGTTGAAAATGACGTGCAACAGATTAACAAATGACAGTGGTTCTCACCAATCACCAATAAGAACTATTTCTGACCCTTTTCCTTTTTGGCCAACAAAAACCAATGGTCATTTGAATAATCAAACCCAGCAACTTCACAGACATTTTCTAAGTTCCCAATGGCTCGTCGGAACACTAGAGTTTCGTTCGGAAAAGTTTATAACAAGGGATTATTCCAGCCATTTTAGTATATATATATAGTAATGTGTGCTTCCTAATACCAATCTTTTAAAATATATGCGTTAATATAATAATTAATATTTAAATATATCAACTTAACTAATTGATAGTATTTTATATTGGTGTTAATTACGCTTGCGGTAGAAAAATACGAAAAAGTTTGTGCGCGAAGTTGTGTCATAGTCGTTCCGACCTTAGTAGTTCCGGCCCCTACCCGGTCCGGCCCCGTATTCTTAGTCGTTTCGGCCTCATATATTATATATATGATTCATGTTTATTTAGAATTAGATTTTAAATAAAATTGATTTATATAATGGATAATTCATGTTACTCATTCAAAGAAATAAAATCAAAAATTAAAAAATACTTCACATTGTACATTTGTTATCTTTTCATTTTACATGTTGTCTAAAACAAAATACACCTGTGCAGAGACGTATGTATTTTACGTCTCTGACCTGTGTAAACATGAGTAAGATTGCTATTTAAGACACATTATAATCACTGTCTTTTGTTTATCTTATTACTTCATGCGTTGGAAACTGTATGGCTTCTAGCAAACGCTGTGTAAACACCACGGGTGTATAGTCTAATCTATCCCTGATCTACCAACGTTGTTTTTACTTTTAGTTGATGAAAGACGTTGATTTTTTTTGTCATCACATCTTGTTAAAATCCATCTTCCAAGTGTGGAGATGCAAATTTGTATGCTCTCAATTAAACTATTACCATTAAGTAATGACTATTACCATTATATATTAGTTATAATTATAATGTATATGTTAGTTATAATTGTAAGATATATTTTGTCATTAAGTATATATTTTAGTAAAAAGTATTAGAGTATATTTTTTCATACAGTACATGTTAGTTATAATGGTTAGATATATTTTGTCATTAAGTATATATTTTAGTTATAAGTACTAAATTCCCGTCTTCCGTATTGTTGATTGCATTAAATATTGCATAATATCATGTTTTTGTCTTGTCTTTTCAACCCGTACACTTGTACAAGTAACACAGTACAAAATGTAAAACTGTTACATCCAAATTTATGTAAACATTCGATTCATGCATAAAACATAGTTCAATGGTGATATGTGAAGAAAAACACTATAGTGAGGCCGGAACGACTAAGGGGCCGGAACGACTAAGGGACCGGAACGACTAAGGACGGACCGGGTAGGGGCCGGAACTACTAGGGGCTGGACCGGGAGAGGCCGGAACTACTTGATACGTCCCTTAAACGTTAAAAATAAAACTTTAAATATAAAATTAACTCACAAATATCATTAACTTGCTAACGTGAATTTGGATTTTAAGTATAATGAAAATATATAGAATGAAGTTTGCACCGTCTTCCTTATTTGACATATCAAAGATAAAATTTAGTTCTGTCGCTTACACCGTTGATTGTTTGTTGTGTAATGACGAGAAAGCAGCCGATATAGCACATTGCTTTGTCAGCTATTGGGGATAAGCATGTGTGTTACCTGCGTATCGAATTTAATCTTTCTGTCGTTATTTAATGTCACGAAACTTTTATCTTATACATTTTTGGATATCAGTAAAACTTTCTTCACTTTGTCTTGTTTCCAAACGAAATATTGATGGGGAATTGTAAAGCTCATTTCGGTTGTAAACATGTTCTTGTGACACTTGTAACAATGTTGATTTAAAGTTGTCGTGGATTGATTGCCAGTAGGGTAAATTAAACCTATGTTGCTCATCGAAAATAAAACATTGAAGAAATAAAGACAATAAAAGACTTCCATATAATTATATAAAAAGTCTATCAAGAAGAAATGCTGTACCGTTTTCTTTTTTTCAGTGTTCATGGACAAGAAATAGCCAGATAACAAGATGAGGATCGCTTGTCTAGTTTAGACCAATTGAAGAAAGTGAAAATTGTCATAGCATAAGGTTCGATTTTCCGTGAAACCATGGAAGAAGTGAAGATGGAACCTGATAATTCAGGAAGCCAAAACACTATCAGACCAAATGGGTCTGACTGTGACCCTGTTCATGGCTCGAGTCAGAGTGCAGAGGGGGTTAGTTTAGAGAAGAATGATGGATATGAGTCTGTAGAAACCAAGAGTGAAGGTGAAGAGGCAGTATCTGAAAAAACGGGGAAGTTCCATGTTGACAAGTCCTTGATTCCGGCTGCTCAGCTCAATGATATCCAGGAATTCTCGGAACTTGAAGGCTTAGGGCTGGATGTCTTTAACCAGGAGGACTTTGAACAAGGTGAATTTTGAGGAAAAAATTGATGTAATGTACTAATATTTTTGTATATGACTGAAGCAATATGTATACCATGGTTGATCCCCACCTATATGTTGCAGCAGCCAAGAAACATGACGGGAAAATACTGCATTTAATTACTCACAAGTTATCCTTTCCAGCAATGTGGGTTGTGACTCTAGGACTAGCCCAATAATTAAGCAATACAGACTATTGACTAAGTACTGGGGCAGGATGCATGGTTGTCTGCATGCATGCTTTCATGTTACAATTTGATGTTAGCGTCAAATATGACACTCAGGGCACCGGTACCTGTATAAGGCCATGCAGTTCCAATGGCTAGCTAAATAGGAAAGGTGTATTGGTAGTATAGGGGAGGACCAACAGGAATCCCCTGACCAAGTCTCAGGATGAAACTTCTTGTAGGGGAAACATCAACATAGTGTAGCAACCAGCTCACTGATAGCTTAACCTGCAATAATTATTTATAGGTTTAACTTCCTTCAGATGGAAAGAAAAAACTTGCAAGTTAGAGTAGAATCCCACTTTTGTATGGAAAATAATTGTCAGAATATGACTGTGCCATTTTTGCTATGGGGTAACATTTTCCACAACTGGTTTTCTGATGTAAAGTGAAGATATGTATTTTTCAATCAGGTGTGATGGCCCAGGTAGACCAGGTGTTAGCTGCAGAAGAGGAAGAAAGGAAACAGAAAATCATTGAGAAGCAAATGAAAGCAGTGGAAGATGATATCAAGTCAGTGGCATATAATTGTCTTATTTGATAAACACATTTGGTTAAATAGTAGCAGGCACATCACACTTTTAATTAATGTGCTCTATATATTGATTTGGTAATTACCATTTAAAGATTTGAAGAGATTATCGATGGTATATAAGTGTTTCAAAAATAATTAGTTTTTTTCTGATTTCTTCTTGTCAATTTTCATCAATCTTGATGAAATATAAAATAGTGACTGGTATGACTTGCAAGTAAAAGACATTATCACATTGGTGTACATTTCCTCTAGTCGGACACTTTGGGCTAGTAGATTTTACATCGGGACCAGCAAAACTGTAAATGGGCTAGTAGATTTTATGTCTGGGACAGTGAAACTATAAATGGGCTAGTAGATTTTATGTCTGGGACAGTGAAACTATAAATGTTTTTTTTTCAAAATTTACCTGAACGAATCGATATCACAGCAAGTGCTCCTCGAAATCATACATCCCTGTATTATTGTTAGATAAGTGTTATTTTAAATTTCACATGTAACTTAGAGTATGACTTTGAACAATATAATTGAACATGTATTTGTATGAATTTCAGGTTGGTCAAGCAGGAAATGCTGGACATTGAGAGAATTTTGACCAGCCTCAGCGGTGGTCAGTCTGACTACACCAAGCGAAGAATTGACTCTGTTCGCAGACAAAAGGAGAACAAGGTCAGTTTATATGATAAGAATTGATTGTGGTTTGTAAATATCAATTCTGACTCCCCTCCCCCTTTTCTCGTTAGATGTTTGATATGTTGTAAATATAGGAGGCACGGTAGTCTAGTGGTAGTATGCCGGGCTCCTGACCAAAGGGTTGCTGGTTTGAGTCACGGCACTGTGTTGTATCTTTGAGCAGGATACTTTATTTAACTTGTTCCAGTCTACTCAGCTGTAAATGAGTATGTGGTTGGGCAGTGCTAGAATTGTTGAATGCTAGCTGTGAGCGCCGCAATGGCAGCACCGGCTGTATGCTCCCCAGGGAGTTGAGAAAGATATTGGCTGGTTGCAAAGGCCCTTAACCATGAATAATAATTTGTGAACCGCTTTGAGACGACCTACGAACTAGTTTGTGATAAAGCGGTATATAAGAACCTCAAATCATTTTTATATAATCAATATTAACATTACATTAGTAAAAAGGAATTGTGAAGACCAAGTCTACACTTGATATGTATTGAAATATTTATGCAGTTATTAACTAGCATTCAATGAGACCTGGTATGACCTCATGAAATTTTATAATATTTCTTATTACTATCACATCACTAATGAGAGCTTCGTTAAAAGAATCACACTACTGACATGATAATGGACAAAGTAAACATATTTTACACAAATATTCATTCATTCATGGTCATGTGATAAAAATTGTCCTTACAATTTTACATTGTCTCTTATGTTTCATGAATCACAAAATGGAAAATATATTTGACATTTGATAAACCGTATGTGAAATGGAGTTTAGTGTTGTATGCAAATTATGTACATTTGCAGTGTGTCTGTTACCCAACAGGAGACATCAGCAGGTGTATATTTCTAAACATTTTTTTCACAAAGATGAAATCATTTCCATCCCTACAGATCAGTCATATGAAGACACTGCAGGCCAAAAAGAAGTCACTTCTTCGTAAGTTACCTGGAGCGTCAACAGAGGAGGAGGGTGAAGACTGTAAGTACTGTTGTTTCTGTAGGGCTTATTAATGAACTAGTACTAGCAGAATGTGTTTGTTTCTATTTAAGTTCGAGTTACAACAGTATAAATAGTATTTCCATGTATGGTTTTGTATTTACTTGATCCTTTGTTATTACCATGTATGGGAATAGAAAAAATATGTTACGGTCCTAAAGATCCTTTTTACAGACTAGAACGGAGAAAGGAACAAAATGTTAAAATGAATGTAGATCACAATCTATTAATTACAGCTTTCCTCCATATGGAATTGGCATTGTTTGTCAATCTGTAATGATTGGAGTTTTGGATACATGTATATACATTATCAAATAACATTCAAATTTCTTGTAAATGACTTGAATTAATAATAAATCTCAAGGCTAGTTGATATTGTACAGTTCATTAATTTACCATAGTTTGATTTATTTTTAACATATATGTATACATTTTTTCATTTCTTTCTGAAGGCGAGAATTAGTTTTAAAATAATTTTTCATTTTTATCTGTAGGTGAAAATTTCGACTTAAACCAGGTATTGGGTCTAACGGCTGGACCTTCCAAGGAAACTGAGCGTGAAAAGATGATACGTCTTGGTGAAATGACACCTTTTGGGACAGTCGTATCGAAACCTACCTCTTCATCAACCAAGAAATCTTCATCCTTATCGTTATCACAGGTACATGACACACCAAATCATCATTTAGTTATTTAAAATTTGGTTTTAACAAAACAAATAATTCTATTCTTCAGAATACTTTTTGAATTTTTATATAAATTAAAGTAAGTAGCAGTAATTTATTGAGATTTGAAAATTTAAATAAATTATTTTGATTTATGATACAATTGTAAATTTTTTAACACCCATTATTGAGCTAACTTTAAGAACATATTATTTAGGAAAAAACTAGCAATATGCATACCAAAATTTTTGTGAAATATGTTTTCAAGGTATGTAATAGGTGGATTTTTTTTTATCCTTTTTTTGTTTTGTTTGTTTGTAGATTTCAATATGATTTTGTTAGATTTCAATATTAGCTAAAACCAGTAAATACAGAATATCAATGGTAAATAAATAAAAATGCAAAATGTAATTATTTTTATTTTTTTGCAGAAGTCTTCATTTGATCAATTCTTCATAGACAAGGATCATTCCAGGATATCTCAGAATAAACCGGCAGCCAAAGTTCAGTCCGAATTAAATAGAAAACTGGAAAGAATGAAAGCAAGTCTGTCAGAGGACTCTAAAAAATCTGAAAAGAAAAAGAAGCAAGAAAAATCTACCTCAGATGAAGATAAAAAACCAGGCAAATCAAAGTCAAAACGAAAAAATCTGTTTGGCGAAAGAGACAAAAGACATTCTAGCGACGAATATCAGCCAAACGAACAAGAATTAGCCATGAACAGCGATCTGAGCGACCAAGAAATTAGAGGTAGATTTATTTTTATATTTGAAACAAAGTTTAATTTAGTAATTATCAATTTTAGAACAATTTTGGATTTTCTTTTTGCTCCATTACATGACCCTATCATGAATATTGTTTTGTTTTTAGTGTTCTCATTAAAAGGTGTCGGCCAAATGTAGCCTGCCATTCATCAACTTTGAACCCGCTATTTTTCATAATAGTTACATTATAGCATGTGAACAGTCTACTGGCTATTCTTTGCAAGTCAACCACCTTTTTCAAAACTGGTTAGGATTGATTTAATTCAACTTAGCAACAAAATCCAAAGAATATGATACACAAAGATGACACTAAGTTTTGCTATGAGTGGTGTAAACTGGTACTTTTTAACATATTCCATTTCAAATTCTAATTTAACAAATTAACATGTTTTGTTGTTCTTCCATTGCCATTTGATCTTCCTGTATTGAGTTTTATATTAAAAATGAAAATATTTTTATTAACAGAGCAAATAAAGAAAAAGAACAAAAGTCCAAAAAAAGGTTTTGGCCGACCCAAAAAGCCTCCTAAATATCATGAAACTGACAGCGACTCGGACGATGCAGGAACACCTCAGAAAAAGCGATTTAGTAGTGAAGTAAGAATAAAAAAGGTCATAGACGATGGATGTGAAGACGACTACGATGACAGAATGAGGTCAGTCCAAAAAAACCTTGGAAGACAATACTTACACTCCAGTATATAAATCGTGTCTTCATTTTGAAAGAATGATGCAGTACGATTTGAACCCGATAAATATTTACAATAGTGATAAAATGTCTGCCCTTTAAGTTAAGTGGACCTTTTTTTTTTTTTGAGATTCAGATTCAAGAATTATGTTATAGTGTTTCTTTTACACAATCGCTGTGGAAACATTTTGTGTACAATTTTGAAAAATGAACAAGACATAAATGGATACATTGAAGATCCAGCAATATTTATGGGAAACTTAGGGGTGGTAGGGGAAGGGACAGAGATTGAAGATACTGGGTAATTTGTTTTTGTGACTTCAGATAGTTCCATAGGGCAAAAAATAACAGGTATTTTTCATAGATCTTGGAATGGACCTCTTAATAGATACTTTTTTCTTTTAATTCAGAGAATTCAATAAAGCAGAAAGAGAGAGGATGCAAAGAGTGGAGAACAAAGAGGAGAGCGATGAGGAAGACGAAGAACTGGAGGGAGGCCTACGGGTACCAGGGCGTATCTGGTCAAAACTATTCAAGTAAGACATTATATTGATAGTACCTCCTTCAAAACTGACAGTTGTTCCCTGATAAAACTTTGCCACCAAATCCTTTTTCGACAATGTCTTGAAACGAAGTAGTGGGAAAAAAACAGATTTCACAGTTTCACTGAAGAAATGTGTGTAAAGCATTTCTTTTAGCGATGACAAAATTACTCGGGTACAAATGGGAACACTAAAAAGATATTGATTACCCATTGTTTTTATCATTTTTTTCAAATGTCCTGCATGCTTATTTAGTGTATATAGTAACTGTTAAAGTAAAAGTTCTAGTATTTAAATGAATGATAATTGATGAAGGCTGAAAGCCTCTAGGTCCATATCATATCAACAAATATTTAACAAAAAGTTTATAGAAGTGTCAATAACAGCATTATAAATATACGAAACATAGCATCATTGTGTTTCACCTATCATAGATTGTTTCTTCAAAAATGTTCATCAATTAAAATTCCCTAATCGTTTGAGCATTAATATAACAACATGTACAGGGACCGAAGTGGCTGGATTTATAAAATTTTGCATATGCCTTCTTAAGTCTAGATTATCATCCACCGTTACACCAAAATCTTTTTCACCAGTAATGCTTTTTGTAAAATTTTCTTTAATGAGAACTCAGCATCTCTGATAGAGTAGGAAAAATTGTATTTGAACTCTAGGTACCAGCAGACAGGTGTGAGTTGGTTGTGGGAGCTTCATGGTCAGCAAGCAGGCGGCATTGTTGGGGATGAAATGGGACTTGGCAAGACTATAGAGATGATCGCCTTTCTGGCCGCACTCAGGCATAGCAGACTTAAAGATAAAAATTTCTCGTAAGTTCTTCGACGGAAATATGTGATAATGCATTTTGTTCATAAATATAATTATGTGAAACAGATTTTAATAATTTAGTGATTAGTGGTCTCCAAACTTTTAGATCATCGTTTTTGGATCTTTTTTGCCTGAAGACTTTTCTCTTGGTAGCAACTTTCCAGAATCTGTAATTTTGGATACTAGTTCATAGTTCATAAATCAGAATTGCTTTTATGGAAATGGCGTTGCTCATAAAGCATCTACTATATAAAATATTTCATATCTGTGTCTACTTGTTGTGTTGCTATAGATACCAGGGTCTTGGCCCAACAATCATCGTCTGTCCCACTACTGTGATGTACCAGTGGGTCAAGGAGTTCCATACCTGGTGGCCATTGTTCCGAGTGGCCATTCTGCACTCCTCTGGCTCCTACACCTGTTCAGAGGTAATTATGCTGCGGTTATTCTGTTCAAGTCTCTTTCTAACTTCTGCTTCATTTTACACAATGTCATGTAATTTATAGAAAGCTATTGACCTCATAGCTGACCGTCGAGCTGGTTGAAAAGTGAGTTTTATCTCTTTCATCTATTTCCTTCTATGTCAGTTAATTCAATGTAAAATCAAACACTAATACACTGAATAGCCTTTTTATCTCATAGTCCCATGCATCAACATGTACATTTCGCTGTTATGTATATAATTTTGTATCATAAATGAACATGATATATAGCTTCAGCGAGTGAAGTACAAATCAGAGTGTTGTTTGTTGTTGTGAAGACTCTGTAATAAATAGATTATAATTATACACTTAGACTGCTAACCAGTGAAATCACACCGTAAAATAAATTAAAACGATAAGTAACGTGGAATACTACCATTGTAACACTACAATCTGTAATGTCAGTATGATGATATGATGACATCACGCAAATTGTTGATATGCAGTATATAATATTAACATCTGTGATGTCACAAGAGATCATACATATTCATTATCAAGGCAAAAGTGGTTGTGTTTCCCTTACATTTGTTCAGTCTAAACATACACAAAATATGTAGTTGTTCATTAATTGGATGAACATATAATAAATAATAAATGGTAAAATACAACTAACTCACTGTCAAGCTTATTTCATAAATTGAAATTGTTTTGGATCCTTTTTTAATTGAAACAAATTTTATCGAGGTTGGCAATGATCAACTACTGTTAACTGTACATTTCTCTTGCATGTTGTTGTATTTATCTAGGCGGAGCTTGTGCGGAGTATCGTGAAGGATCGCGGAGTGCTGATCACCTCCTTCAACACATTTGTCATCCACCAGGCGCTGCTCATTAAATATAACTGGCACTATGTGGTTCTGGACGAGGGCCACAAGATCCGCAACCCAGACGCACAGGTCACAGTTGCTGTGAAGCAGGTACAGGCTGACCGGGTCTTTACCCTTTGACACCCTCAATGGGGGTGGGGGGTGCTAGAAAGTGTTGAACATTTAGGCTATACCTTCAAATAAAACCATAATTTATGAAATATGTTTAAAATGTTATCTTCTTAATATCGATACAGAGTTATTGAAGACATACAATGTTGTTTAAGATATACTGACACTAAATAATCATTGTTCCATAGTAATATGGAAATGGTACTTGACAAAGTTGACACAGAAAATAATCGATACTAAAATGTATTTTAAATCAAAATTCTTTAAAAGCCATATGAATGTCTTTGATATACTTCAAGGTAGTAGACACACATAATATCTTTATTTCATATGCCAATTGATCGTCTTTAACAACTGGATTGAATGTTATTGTTGAAGTACAGAATGATTTATTATATATTCAACAGTTTCGGACTTACCACAGAATCATTCTGTCTGGTTCCCCGATACAGAACAACTTGAAGGAGTTATGGTCCCTGTTTGACTTCGTGTTTCCAGGGAAACTTGGCACCTTACCAGATTTTATGGCCCACTTCTCTGTACCTATTGTACAGGGGGGCTACTCCAATGCTTCAGAAGTACAGGTATTTACTTATTTTTACGCTCCTACCATTTTATTGAGGAGTTAGGGACAGATAGTTTTACCCGTGTCTGTCGCATCGCGATTTAATGTCATGACTCTATTTACCTCGTTGCTTATAAGATTTTCACCAAGGTTTATACAAAATCCAAGTACGAAAATACATGTACTTAAGATAGGTTCATATTTAAGGGTCCAAAGGTCAAGGTAAAGGTCACTATCATTATTTATAATTCAACTACAGGGCCAAAGGGGCACTCATGTCTTACTAATGAGTGTAAATTTGAACAAAACAACTGAAATAATTATGTAGTCAAGGAAAATTTTGGCAGAAGCTATAGTTGCTGCGAAAATTAGAGACCAAAGTAACCATTTTGTTGTTGCGTACCAGGTGATGACGGCGTACAAGTGTGCTTGTGTACTGAGAGATACCATCAACCCGTACCTTCTGAGGCGCATGAAGGCTGACGTAAAAATAGACCTTCCCAACAAGAATGAGCAGGTTTGTCACACAGTAGAGTTCTAATGAACAGTAGAACTTGTCTAAAAGCTTTTAACCAATATACCCTGCTGTCAAGAAAAAATGTTGACAATATATTACAATGACTTAATGAAAAAGCACTTTCGTAAACAGTCTAACAACAATACAAAAGTACTAGATTTTATCATGTGATTTACTGAACTGGCATTGAACAAACTGACCACTTAATAAGTCTTGTCTTCACTGCCAGCTTAACTAATATCAGTCACACTTGTCCATGGGACCACCTCCATTAAGAGACCACATTGTAGTGATGTCATTGATCAATTGTGTATTAGAAGACCACCTGTGTTAAGTGACCTTTCATTGGCCTTTTAGGTACTGTTCTGCCGATTAACAGATGAACAGCGACAGGTATACATGGAGTACTTACAGTCCCGCGAGTGTCAGGCCATCCTTTCTGGCAAGTTCCAGGTAAACAATTCTACCCTTAAGTTATGGTAAAGTTTGTGGCAGGAATAGAAACCTTTTCCTAGAGCATTAATTTGAATAGGTGTTATTTTGATTTCTTAATGTCTTTCAGCTTTAGGCTGTTCAATTTGATATGGTAATCTTGAAACATTTTCACCTCAAAATATTTTGTAGAAATACATGTACTGCATTGTTGGAAATATTTCATAAAGCAAGAAGTATTCAAAGAAATTGTTTTTATCTACATGTATTTCATAGTTGCAGTAAATTCAATGCTTTTAATGGAAAAAATCCGTTTTAGTTTTGATGTCTATTTTCTTGCATAAATTGTTGTAAATTGTTGTTGAAATGCATTATTGAAGATAAAAGAGTTTTAAGAAATGACTGGTTGATTCAATTGACATATAAATTGAATTACTCTTCACAGTTGTACAGTAAAACTAACTACCAGTTAACCAATGAAATTTTGTACTGTAAAGAGGTTTGGTAAAACAGCATATATACTGAGGGAGACCTGCAAAGGAATCATTAGAAAAAACGGCCCTCACAATGTGCTGTTTGTAAGCATGATAGCAAATGAACTCTTTTATAAAAATGTAACTTGAATGAGATAGATAGCACAAAAGTGAAAGTTAGATGTGTAAGAAATTACAGGAAAAATGTTTCGTGACAGGTGTTTGCTGGTCTGATTACCCTGAGGAAGATCTGTAACCATCCCGACCTGTGTACAGGTGGGCCTCGTCTCTACATCGGAGAGGAGCCTGGGGAGGATGTCGACCTTCAGTTTGGCTATAAGGGTCGATCTGGGAAGATGATTGTTGTGGAGTCGCTACTGAGACTGTGGAAGAAACAAGGACACAAGGCTCTGTTCTTCTCCCAGAGTAGGGCTGTAAGTAATAGTCTCTTAAATAGGGCCGTAACGTATAATGTGGAAATAGAGAAATCAATGAAAGGAGAAGTAAAAACCCCATTATACAGTAGATTTCACTTTATATCACTTAACATTTGTCAGAGAAAACTGTGATATTAACCAGAACATGATTTAAATAGAATATGTGTTTCTCGGACCTTTCCAGCTGTCAAAACAGATATTTGTAACTTAACATGTCTTTTTCTTTATTAACAGTGAAATAATCATCTTTAATTTGGTTTTTTCATTGAAATATGCAGCTAGAACACTAAATTCCGGTAGCGAGTTATCGTACATGATCCAATAGGTCTAGATCGTCCCTTTGTTGTCGTCTGCTGCTAGTCTAATATCCAAAAAGTGACATTAAGCGACGTTATTGAGTGAAATGTACAGACATACAAAGCTGGAGAAAGAATTTGTGTAAGAGGCTACCTTGTTTCCTAATTCTGCAGTTTATATCATATTTACATTGTATTGCCCAATTAAAATGGTATTTGAACTGATGAGATATTCCATATTTTCAGTCAGATTGTTCTGTCCATTAAAGGGTTGAAACAGTGATTAAGTTTGTGAGAAATTTCACAGCCTATTTGATGATATCACTTCACCTTGTTGGATACAGTGTGTTTTATGCTACAGCTGCTGGACATCATGGAGAAATTTGTTCAGAAGGAGGGCTATAACTACCTTAGGATGGATGGAGGGACGGCCATCTCAGGGAGACAAAGTCTGATCAACAGGTTCAACAAGGTTTGTCCATATACTGAATGGTGTTTTCATTACATGAATTTACATTTCTCCAACACTTCACAGGTTCGTTCCTGTTTTTGCTAGAGAAATGTTAAACCTGTCGTTACCAACCTAGGGAAAGGCAGCTAATTACACACACTATTATTCTGAAAACGTCATCATCATGTTATCACTTCATGAAGGCTAACCAGGCTACCAGGTAATGTCATCAACTCTTTCACAAATTTCATGTGCAACTGATGATGATGCTGTGCGTTGGGTTCAACATTTTTTTTATGGTAGGAAAGTGTAGGAAAAAAGAACCAATCATTCCTGTGTAGATGGGAAAATGTCAACCTAAGGAAAATATTTTTTAAAGTTCAGGTCACGACCAAACCTTGAGCTAAACTTCAGAAATATTACCCTTGGGTTGAGATTTCTCAGTCTGCTTTACACAGGGGTGATAGATTCTATCAAGAATAATAGAATCTATCACTGCTGTATGAGGGGACACAGGGGAAACCAGTGAGTAGTATATCTAGTATAAGGAAGTGTAAAGTTGAATATATAGAAAGTATAGATTTATCTCCACACATTCGACAGGTGGATATCTGTATCTGGTATCATAGATAGAAAATATCTAAACAAGGAAAGAAATAATCATCAGGGTGCAAATAGACACTTACAAATATTCATTCTTACCACACACAGTAACACAATGGAATCTCCTTCCCATAGCAGCAGTACAATCCACAACACTCGAGGACTTCAAGGCACACATACGCTATGCAGCCCTTGAAGCCCTCACACGCTAGCTTTTATCTTTCATCTTATACCCTGCACAAAAAAATCCAAAAAACAAATCACTGTAACTAATCCCTCTTTCACGCCTCTGTGCACAGGTACCGAAGGCACAATCATCAGCATTGATGGAGCCTCCGTATAAATAAGAAGAAAGTGTTGATCAATTTTCGGTTAATAGTTTTCAAAAAGAAATAGAAACAATCTTTGTGTCTCTTGATTTACAGGACAACTCCATCTACCTGTTTCTGTTGACAACGAGAGTGGGTGGGCTCGGTGTGAACCTGATCGGTGCCAATCGTGTGATCATTTTCGACCCAGACTGGAATCCCAGTACCGACACCCAGGCAAGAGAGAGAACATGGAGGATTGGTCAGGAACGGCAGGTGACCATCTACCGTCTGGTGACCACGGGTACGATAGAGGAGAAAATCTACCACAGGTTAGTCTCACACCAGCTAATTATTGTAGGGGAGGGAATTAGGGATTTCAGGTGGTGGACGGCACTGACCTTGATATGGTGTTCAGTAATTTCCTTATTTGGCACACAGGTTGGCTTAAGAGTTTATATTGAAATAATGATAAGGCAATATTTAACTTCTACAAGGGTTTATAAAGGGATGAAGGGACACAGGTTGGAGGAAAGGGTTGAGATGGGATTTATTTGGTAAGGTACTAAGATAGTCAATACCTTATTAACTGGTATACAGGCTAGGTTGTAGATTAGGAGGCACGGTAGTCTAGTGGTAGGACGCCGGGCTCATGACCAAAGGGTTGCGGGTTTGAGTCACTTCACGGCACTGTGTTGTATCTTTGAACAAGATACTTTCCTCTGCTTGTTCCAGTCCACTCAGCTGTAAATGATCATGTGGTTGGGCAGTGCTAGAATTGTTGAATGCTAGCTGTGAGCGCCGAAATGACAGCACTGGCTGTATGCTCCCCAGGGAGTTGAGAAAGATATCGGCTGGTTGCAAAGGCCCTATAACCACAGATAATAATTTGTGAATCGCTTCGAGACGACCTATGAACTTGGTTGTGAAAAAGTGGTAATAAGAACCTCAAATTATTATTATTATTATTATTATAAGATTGGGTTGGGGTGTTGGGTAGAGGCGGATAGAGTTGATTGGGCAATGTACGGGGATGATCAACACATTTTTAGCTTGTGCTTGAGTTAGGTTATTGATGGGATGAGGGTGGAGGGTGGGATTATTTTAAGTATATTTGGAAAACCTTTTTAGTTGGTACACAGGTGAGGTTATTGCTGGGTTGAGTGGAGTGTAACCTTTAGGGTAAGGTAGGGGGAAAATAGTACATTCCCCTTTGTTATACCTTCAAGCTGGTGGCAACACCCTGTAGTTCTGGGCACATCTAGATAGGTCAAGCTTCATATATGAATAACTTAATGTTAAGATCAATTTTAAATTCAAATATATAGAAAAGATTCCAGAACCATTGCCAGCGTGAAACTTTTCACATCACAATCAATTTAAAGTCATGATGTGAACATTTCCACACACAAACATTTCCACTTTAAAAGTTGTATATTAAATCCTCACCTAATTTTCATTTTTACTAGACAAATCTTCAAGCAGTTCCTTACCAATCGCGTGCTAAAGGACCCAAAGCAGAGACGATTCTTCAAGTCCAATGACCTATATGAACTGTTTGAGCTGGGGAATGCTGATGGTCGAGAACAGACAGAAACAGGGGCTCTGTTTGCTGGTACAGGGTCAGAGGTCAAGGTCAGTTCTCTGATGTCTCAGAGCAAGAGCAGGGTCAAGGATGATCGGGTCAAAAAGAGCTCTAAGGTCAGCAAAAACAGATTTGATGTTATGCTAGAAGAAAAAGAAAGAGAAAAGAAGGAACAAGAAAGGAGAAAGGAAGAAGAGGAGCGAGAGAGAAGAGAAATGGAGGTGAGGATGGAGAGTGGAGACAGTGAAGATGAGGTGGAAGGAATGTACGCCCTGGCTGAAAAGATACGACAAGAGATCAAACAAGAGGAGGAGGAGGAAGGCGGATCAGGAGCATCTGATTGGTCGGTAAAGAATCGTGGAGGGAGAACTAGTAGCACAGAGGAGGTCACAGTAAAGAGAGAACCAAGCTTTGATAACATTGACTCCAAGCCTAATAGTTCAGGGTCTGATTCTAGACCTGGTAGTGGCTCCGGACCAGGTCCTGCTGACCAAAATGGAAATCCTGACAACAGAGGGGGACAGGCCCAGTCGCAGATCTTGGAACAGATACTCAAAAGAAAGCATGATCTCCAGAAAAAGTTTGGTACCGATGGAACCCATAGAACGCATAGGGACAGAGAAAGTGGTAGGGAAAAACATCGTAATGAGGAGGAGGAAGCTACATCAACCTCCGCTTCATCCTCTCACAGAAAACACAGACACAAGGAGCACGGTGAGGAAGGCACACATTCACAAGGACTTGATGAGGATCACAAGAGGAGACACAAGAAACATGGACACAAGGAGCACAGAGAGGGAGCGTCACACTCACAAGGACTTGATGAGGATCACAAGAGGAGACACAAACACAGACACAAAGATGACAGAAAAGGTTCCGGTGACGAGGAAAGGCACCACCACGGCAGGCGGAAACATAAAAAGAGGAAACACAGGGATGCAAGTAAGTTGATACAATGTTTTACATCAGTAAAGGTCCCATTGTATATGGACAAGCAAATAAAGTGGCACCAACTTCATAGTCAATATAACATTCTACTGTGTGATTCACATGTATATACACTATACAGGGATAGTTTCAGTCATATTGTTTTTACTGATCAGAAGAATCTACAAATTAAAAACAAAATAGGGATTGGTTATGATCTGGAAACTGAATTCAACACAATGAATGTTCAGCTGTATACAGTATAGTATTCATTTGATTATTTATGCCATTTATCAAGTGTATTGTATCAAGGTACTATATAGCAGAACTTTTTCAATTTACATGTTAAGGTGATTGATCTGCTATTAAAGCTGAATGGTAAATAAGAAAATAAAGAATAAATCATCTGTTGTTGGCAGTATTTCTTGAGACATACTATATGTGTATGAAATGTTTCAATGAATGAATGTCGCATACGTGGAATCTACTGGTCAAGTTGCTGATATGCTTTTGTTGACCATCCAATACGTTCTGTACCTTTGTGAAAAAGTCACAGTTAAGGTGGCTCGACACATCGTCATCAGCGTCCATTTTCGTGACATACTTCCGGAAAAAGTACAGCTAGGACTCAATTATCTTAATCGAAATGTGCATGTACACCGTGTCGTCATTTCCGTATTGCGTATCGGGCATTCAATATCGTAGTGCAAATTATAGTAACACCTGCTGNGAACCTCACCATACCAAATATTTGGATAAATCTTCAATACCCGGTATATCTGTGAATTAATAGAAACATGAGAAATCAGATATTTGAGATATCTAACTTTGCAGTAAGTAAGTTTAACTGTGTCTATGTGCATGAAAAATAATAACTTTGTTGTGTTAAATATACATGTATGAGAATTGTTTTGTGTGAAATTAAACATACGTGCATGATAATTATATAAATTTCATTCTGCAAAATTGCAGAGTTTGAGGGTGAAAGGATTCCGAATTTGGTCAAACTGGATGAATACAAGACAGAGCTATCAAAGGAAAAGGAAGAGGATGGAAAGAGGATGGATGATTATGTTCTGAAAACCTTGTTCAAGAAAACAGGTATTGTTTGATCAAGGATTCCTTGTTTCTTCTAATAGATTTCACAAGGAAATGCTGTAGAGATGAATACATAGTTATCTGATTTGTGAAAACCGGCCAATCAGGAGAGATAGGAATGGCTGAAGGTGAGTAAAACCGGCCAATCAGGAGAGATAGGAATGGCTGAAGGTGATTAAAACCGGCCAGTCAGGAGAGATAGGAATGGCTGAAGGTGAGTAAAACTGGCCAATCAGGAGAGATAGGAGTGGCTGAAGGTGAGTAAAACCAGCCAATCAGGAGAGATAGGAGTGGCTGAAGGTGAGTAAAACCGGCCAATCAGGAGAGATAGGAGTGGCTGAAGGCAGTACTGTTCAGATGAGATCATTGGGTTTTTCCTAAAAGAAAATTTGAAAATTACATACTGTTAATTATTTTTTATAATAAATGGTAGACTGGCGAGTCCAGGAGGTTGGTTATGCGTTAAAAGTTATTTCAGGTATCTTACAGATAATTTCACATAGAAATATCTTAATCTCAATAATGTTTTGAAGAATATATATATATACTTGGTTGCATATTATACCATATGATTTGGAGAACTTAACATGTATGTTTTATGACTCAGATTAGCCTGCTAACACTCCAGATTTTCAAGAAGGATATCAATGTATTATAATATGAATTAACTTTTACGTGGTATTTGTCTGTCAAATGTCTCGTGAAGTAACTAAACAAGTTAAACTTCTGCATTTGTTTATCATATAGTTCATTGTTCGATGCTTTTAACCAGTACCAGGGGCCTGTTCCTTTATTGGGAACGACCGGTTTGACCGTTTATAAATGTAACAATTTCGGGTATAAATCCTAGCGGACCTGCAAATGTTTATGCAGGCCCTGCAAGCCTTTGTCAAGGCTTGCCTGAAAGCAGCATCAGATTACTAGGTCCGACCTTATTGGATAAACGAACAACTGTGGTCCGACCGGTTTGGCCGTTTAAACGAAAACGGACCAGTTTAGCTGTTTTTTCAATGAAGCAGAGGTGCAACAAATACTTAAGCTTTTAGCTGGGATTCGTGTTGGGTAAACTCTGGTTGTCCCCAAAATTGCCTCTCATGAGATTATATGTTTCTTATTGTGGAACTCTTTTAAAAAGGAGATTAAGCTTTAAGAGAGATGTAACTTATAACCCTAAAACAATTAACATTTTCCTAATCAGGAATACAGAGTGCACTGAAGCACGACGTGATCATGGACTCCAGCAAACACGATTACATGATTGTAGAGGTGGAAGCTGACCGTGTTGCCAAGGAAGCCATGAAGGCCTTGAAAAGGTCAAGGTCACAGTGCTCCTCTGCAATCTCCGGTGTGCCAACTTGGACAGGCCAATCTGGGGCTATCAAAAAGTAAGTACATACTAAGCTTGTCACATTGATTAAAATTGTTGGAAGCATGAAAAAAAAAATAGAAATGAAAAAAAAATGTTTTTTTTTTTTGATATCTCAAAGTTTAGAAAGCTGTAAAAGTTAAGAATTCAAATAAAAACTTTAATTCCAGTAATTGTAAACTTTTGTGCAAATTATTGTGTCTTAGAAAGTAAACAAGTTTTGTAACATCTTTCTTTGCTGCAGGCCGAGATTTGGACTGAAGAAGAACAGTCTATTGATCGAAAAATCCACAAAACCTGATGCATCAAAACCTGTGCAAGTAAGTGCTTGTTGTTGTTCACTAAAAGGAAATCTTCAGCTGAGACAATTTGATTTGTACTTTTCATTCATTTCTGTGCAATGCTGCACATTTTTATCTCTGAACTTCAATATTTTGCATACCTTAATAAAACATAATTAAAGAATATCTGTTTGTAGTTTATGAGATGAAATGATCTTTTTTTATACATATAATAGAGAATGAACTATTATATGTATAAAAAATATAATATAAGTTCTACCCAGGAACTTTAATTGCAATACTTTATTCAGTATTTAAAATTTACTTTTTGATGTGAAAGTGTCTATATATTTTGTAAATTAATCATATTTGGTCTAAATTTTAAAGTAGAGTTGATTTTCTTTCAATCAAAGCTGAAGAAATCAGAAAGCAGTGGATCTTCCAGCACCGCGACATCGAGCACAGCGACATCGAGTACAGCGACATCAGGTCCTCCGTCTAAGCACCACTTTGACGGTTCACTTGCTGGAAATGTTGTGAAGGACATTGCAACAGGCAGCTCTGAAGCATCTATGATGACCTCGGGCGAACTGCTCAGCAGGATGCGACAACGAAACGAGGGCACACAGGAAAAAACAGAGGATGGAGAAGATGCTGGGACTGCCGCAGATCCCGAAGCGTTCAAACTTATCACAGACATTCGCAATTTCATCATGTTTGAGTGTGACCTGATCGGAGAGGCAACGACCGATGAAATTTTGACAGAATTCGGACCAAAACTGCCTAAAGCAGATTCGGTGAAATTCAAGGCCATGCTTCAGGAAATATGTGACTACGATAAGAAGCATGGGGTTGGATGCTGGAGAGTTAGAAATGAGTTCAGATAGTTTCTGTGTTAACCGAGATGAAAGTGTCCGAGTACCAGGTAAATGGCAATATGTTTTTTTTTTACTTTTTTTGAGTGGAGAAAGTGGATCCTCTTTAATGAACACCAATTCTAAAATAAGCTCCCAGTGATACAGCAAGTGGTAAAAGAAAAAAGAAAACTTCAACATTAATGTAAGTTGTAACCAATGAGGAATTATTACTGAAATGGGGAACACATACTCAACTTACAGCTATATGCTGTTTGAGGGGGGCTAACGAGGGTGAGCCAAACTAAAAAGGGTGCACCACTTTCTTGTATAAATGGGAGTGAATATGTGTTTTGAATCTGATTTTATTGTTTAAAATGTAAGAATTTGAGTGTTAAAGTATTAGTTATTTTAATGCAGGTGTAAAAATGTGTCCTAGACAAAAAGGCAGCAGTGTGTTGTTTTAGGATGAATGATGTTTTCTGTTTCTTTATTAACCTGTGTATGTATTTATAAAGAATCCCTAGTCTTAGGCATTACAGACAGAAAGAAGGAATCATGCTTTTTGTAATTTTATCACTGCTTTTAGAGGCTAGATTCAATGAAGTATAACATTTGGGTTTGAAAATGTATGACAATATTTCATATTTATGTATTTGAAAACAAACAATTGTGTGCAATAAGAAATATGTGTATGTTAAAAATTCCAGTTCATTAGTGATCCTGCTAGCTATCATAGCCATTAAAATACCACTTTCCTTCAATTACGGGTGATACAATTCTTGTTCAAAAATCATATGTAAGCTGTCATGTTGTACGTTTCAATTTTTATACCTGTTATATACATATTTCCATTCATTAAACCTGCAGGGAAAACAAATCGGGAATCAGGCTAGTAATTTTCACCTTGAGCAATCATTTATCAATTACCTTTTGATATATTTTCTCTATTTCTATTTGGATAAGTATCCTTATAAGTGTGAGTTGAATATCTATAAATTCTGTAAAATGGAAATTTCCCGTCCAAGCCAGTTAGCTATAGGCTTTGTCCTATATTTAGATATAGCATTCAAATAACAATGATAATTGACCATATACATTGTATATGTAAAGTAATGCATATTCATGATGCTAGTTTCATCATTTACCTTAGTTTAATTTGTCAAGGGATGCTATGCACTTCAGGTATGTATACATATAACCAGCTGACCTCCTCACTACAGGTCAGAGGTCAGCGCTACAACCGTCTCATTTTTCAGGGAAAAAATTCAACAGTAGCAAAAATAAGTCGGGATACCTTTGTACTTTAGAGAACACTAAAATGTGCCTAATAAATCTATATAATTTTTGTTTTTGTATAATGTATATTAATATACATTCCAAACTGTGTTTATGAAACGTTGCTTTGTTAAAAAGTGAAGTCGTATAACTTATTGCTGTCTTTTTGTAAATTATTCGTTATTGTATCAACAGAAGAATCTACATTAATATGAAAATTTTTGACTGATAAAGTTTTAAGATTGAGCTTTTGCTCTAGCACAAGATGAAACAGGAAAGATTTCACAAAGTTACCTGAAAGTTTATACATATCTTATCCACTGTATACTGTTTATAGAGTTTTTTGGTGACTTTATAATTTGGTACATTTATATTTCAAAAGGTTATAAAATTTTGGTGGAATTTTAAAATATGGATTCTTCTTCAGGATTGCTTCTTGTATATAAGATAATATAAAGATGCCTGTCTTTTAATTACAAAATAGAAAATGATTTATAACTTGCTAAGTTTTAGAAAAGTTGTCCATTAACAGGAAATTGACTTGTTTTGGTGGTTATCTTATTTTTGTGCTTTTATACAGAATCGGGTATTTCTGTTTTGGTTTTCAGTGCTTTATTTTTCATTTCAGGATATTCTTGCTTTTATAAACTAGGAAAGTGCTGATAATTTAATGCAAAAGAAAAATTTCCCTACCACTTTGTCTGTCCCTATCCAAAATCCAAATACAATGATCAAAACAGCATATTTTTTATAATCTAAGGTTATTTCTGTTCTGTCACGATAATCCTTGTTTTCCTGCAAAAAATTGCTCAACAGCATTTAATGATCACTGATCATGAGGTTTCAAAGAAGAAATTGATAAATAAAGGTTTTTTACGAAAGAAATGTTTTGTTGTGTTGTTTTACCTAGTAATACTGAGTGATGATAATTTCTTATTCCAGAACACGATTCTGTTGTACTTGCAACGTAGGGACCCTCATAAAAATGCAGTGTTTGTTCATCTAGTCATCCCTTCACAATTTTACTGGAGATTATCTCAGAACATGGAAGTCTTGAAATTTCACATGCTGTTGATACACTGTTATAATAGGAGTTTAAGATTATAAGGGCAAGGTCACTTGCTAAAATAGAACCGGGGAAATACTATGAAAAATACATTGTAGTGCCCAGTCTGACCTACCTGTGTTCATTTTGGTGGATGTCTTTGGAAAATAATGAAATATTACCAGGATCCTGAAATTCAAGATGGCCATTGGCTAGTTCACTTAGTGACCATCACTTCTGATTGGCTGTGACATAAATGGCTTCAACTTTTGTTTCATTGATAGAATTTTGTTTACATATATGTTTTACTGTATATTGTATGTGACAGAACCTGGTTAAAAAAAATCACAAAAACTTATCTCAATAATAATCATCCATTTATTGGAATGTATACACATTATTGAACAATATCAGAATCACAGAAGTTATGCTTGGATAACATATAAACATTTGATTGATATTTTCATTCAGCTGAAAATGTTTAAAGGATTTCCGTACCACTGCTAAAAACTTGTAACTACACAAACCCCTTTTTTTCTTGCAACACTAGCTTTGATAAATTATTTTCTGAAAGAAACCATATACCCTGTGGGAGTTTTATGATAAATAATAGATATGAACTAAACAAAACATAATCAATAACAGTGTTCTGAGTGTAAAAATTCCACAGGTCTAGACCAGGCTTCGAACCCTGTATACTGTACTACAGTTCTGACTGACAAGCTGAGCTACCTAGGTAATCAAATCAAGTGTCTTTAATTTGCTCAAATGTGCTATACTTATAGCTTAAATGAATTAAGGGGAGGTAACTGTATATACAAAAAATAAAAGTGCACAGTGACAGGAATCTTTAACTGAAATTCAGATTTCATTTAAAAATATTAACAGGACATGTACAGTGCAAAACCACTTTAAGCATAACAAATATTTCAATTAATACATTTATAACTGATTCACTTGCATAACTTTCACTTGACCCTTGAAACTATGTTTTTGACTCTCCTCATCATTTGCCTCTTGAGTTCAAAAGGACCTTGCTATATGATATATATATTTTGACTTGAAGTTAAAGTTTGATACTTGCTGTCAATGGTTAAATAAAAGCCGAGGGTTGGATTTACAATAGAAGTGTAGTTCTCTAAATCAGATTTTGGTTCAAGATTAGATTTCCTCAAAAGTCTTAAAGAATGTTAATGTTTCTACATATATGTATTATTATTCTCCATTAAGAAATCACATCTTGACTTGAAACAGGCAACTAACCATGGAAAATCCAATTATAAAAAATATTTTAGAGGAAGGTTGAAATTTAAGGAAATTTCAGTTACCAGTATGAACTTTTGTGATAACGTAGCCAGGAAAGATTTGGAGTAGTGGCATTCATGGCCATCACTTTATTTTACGACATCACTTCAAATCAGAGGAAATTACAATTCTCCCACTTCATTATATAAATATTACAATATATACATTACATCTCCAGCACACACGCAGGCATACACACATAGGGAGATATTAGCGAGGTGGCATAGGACTAGTAGTTAGCGCTCGATAAGGCAGCTCCTACGAATTCCTCAAAATTGTATTGATTAATGTATGTGCTAAATTGTATCAATTGTATCTATGTACTGTAAAGCGCTTTAGAGTGGCTAATGTTAGCTAGATAGGGCACTACATCAAATGAAGTATATTTATTTATTTAATATGTCACATGTTCACCAACATCTATATCAAACATACAAATTTCAATGTACATAACAGATTTGACATTACATTTGATCAAAATATTTCCTGAAAATAAAAAATTAAAGCACCAATATTTCTGACTAGAATATCACAGACATATAGGATTCGTTAAATGATTCACACCCGTTTCTCTACAGGAAGTCCATGCTCTCTCTGGGCAGGTAGTGCTCCAGCTATAGGAAGGTAAAATGTTCCGCTGGTCAACAGAAATTGTCGCTTAACAAAACAATCTCTCTGGACAGAAGTGTCTGGGATAATATATATACCCTGGCCTGTAACTGAATGAGATCTGGTTATCTCGGTCAAGGGGTAAGATTCTGTAATGTAATTCCAGCTGATTAAATTAAGGTTATAATGGAGCCAACGTCAGGTGAAGGTTTGTGGGTTAATCAGTGGGGCGCTTCGCTTTGAGTATGGATACCAGATTACAGAATCTAGGCACGTACAAAGAAAATGGATATAATCACAACATACTCAAATGTCACCAATACATTTTGTTGTAAAGTTTATTTTGCCGACTAGTTTTATTTTCTTCATTTACATTTATGTGAACAGTGATTTCCTTGTAACAAAGAAATGTACCTTGCCTCATATGTCCATAACAACACTACTAATGTTGATGACGTCATACTGTTCTGTTGCTAACCATTGTTTATCTGTCCTTGACTAAAGCTCATTGTCCATTACATCACAATATAAAAGTGAACCTCGAAAAAAATGCTTTAGGTGTCTAAAGCATTGTAAAATTGTCCTGATGAAGCCTTAATTTTTTAGGCAAAAATAGTCTGCCAAATAAACTTTAAAACCTGCTTACTGGTGATGCTTGAGTATGCTGTGATTATATCCATTTTCTTTATAATTCCAGCCGAGGTGTTAGTGGTTGCAAGAGGTGTTGGGATGATACAGAATCTTATGGCTTCATGTACCTGAGACTGAGATAGCACAGTCTCGCTCAGTAAGCTCTCGGATCCTTTGTGCCAGCTGAAAACATTTAACAGTCTTCCAAGTTTTAATTAAATCAAAAAGTCTGTCAAGAATCATACATAGGCACTTTGGGCAGGTCAAATAGATAGACAGGTGGTCTCCAGATCCTCTCTAGGCAGAAAGACCTTCTATCTAGTTTCAGTTTCACCACCTGATATTCCCACTTTTCATTACAGCTTGCTTTCAGTAAAAACTTTATAATCATTAAATTGGTAGAGAGTTTTCCGATTGGCTTTCACATTCTCAATCTCATGTATACACTTGTACAGTGTGTTGTACATGGAAGGCCATCGTTTGTCAGCATCAGCCCCGGCTCGGGACGTGGCATCGAGGTGGTTGGTGGCATAAGCTAGACCGACCTTGTAGTGAGAGTCGGCCAACCCCATCTGTCCCCCGTAACCACCATGTCCGAACATTGTCATCTTCTTTATAAATGAAAAAAAATACAACATTTGGTCACATTCAGAAATTGCAGATTCATCCTGAAACACTTCAATAAGATGATTAATTTTGGCACTTCAATATGTTTTGACTTTTTGACTTCTTAATTAGCTGTAAATTATATTTTAAAATTTATTTCAATAATTGTGGTGACTTCTGCAAGATTTCTATTTTATTTCACCTCTCATACAGACATACAACAATAAATCTGATGTATAGACTCGATACCTTCATCATGGCCTGCTCCCTAATAAACAATATTTATAAATTTATTTTACCACATCATTCTACTAGTTTTCCATGCAAACAGTAGCCTCCCCTTAATTATTTATATACATGTATTAGATTTGCAATTGGTAGTTACAGGTATTGGCAGCGGTACAGGGATCCTTCAAATAATTATTGCTGAGCAGCCACAATAAACTTCTAATTACATGTACAATGCATTCCCAAAGCAAAGATTTCATCATGTCTGTCTGTACATGAACATTGTGGGTTCGATATAATAACATAGTTTAAAGTAAACAATGCAAAGTTTTAAGAACCATCATTTCACCTTTGCCAAAACTGACAGGTAAATGACTGAGGCACTTTATATTACCACAGAGTCGGCAACCTTCGTTGTAAAGTAAAAACATACACATATGGTGATTGACTGACTTCCTGTTTACCACTAGTGGTTGTCTGTGTTCTGAATTAATTTTTTTGAAAGGTAAATGGTGGTTCTTAACAGGCATTGTCAGCTTTCATTTGGTAGACATTCAGGTTCACTTACCTTTCCATCTTCAAAGACCGGAAACACCATCGTGCCCAGACTCCACATTCCGTCCATACTGAAGGAGAGGTCAAAACCTCCGACCTTCATTTCCTGAATTCTCCGGATACTCTCAGTTGATAACATCCTCTTGCCTTCATGCACCCCACCGTTACCAAGGATACCGTGAAATTTTGCCACAGCTTCGGCTGTCCCGTGGCCACAGACAGACCCGACGGGAAGACACCTGATGTCTGGGTCATTCATACGCCGCACCTGTAATTTAAACAAGGTCATAATGGGATATCGCACAGTAGTAAGAACAAATTTTTGAAATTGTGCTCGTGAATCTGTTGCTGCGAAAAATAAAATTTACTTTATTTAACGATTTCAACTATTTATAAAAATTAATGATAATTTTGATGTTTTGTTGAGATAACCCTCAGTTGTTATATTCCCCTCAGGGAATATGACTGTATACAGCTTCAGGTAAACAAACTTTCATATCATCCTACCAACAGGACCATAAATGTATAGATCATTTATTTTCTAAATGCTGTTCTTGTGTTTATGGAATTGCATCAGATAAGTTGATAGAATAATAGAAGAATGAATATTTAAGCTTGAGCTCATATATTTATATACACTACATAATAATTCAATCTAAGGAATTGACAGTCTTTTAGGGTGTGGATCTGAAACACCTCAGAAAAGACCTCAAATTCCATTTCCAGTCTTAATTCACAGGTCCCTGTGGTTGACTATTTTAACATAGGCTGAAAGTTTTACTTACGCTACGGAAATCTGTCGGATTATCAGAAGTCATCTCTAAAATCTTCAAATCTCCTTTGAAATTTGCGATGTAGTCTGCGACATCAAACTTTTTCATCATCACAACTCTTGGGGCGCGGTAGTATAAGGACTTTGGAAGCCCAATGTAAAATTCTAAATCTGAAAATTTGTATTTCGAAAAAAATGTATTTCTGCATGAAAAGGCTTTTTAGACATTTTATCAGCATACTAGGGAGAGGCAAATCAATGCAGGCACCTTTTTATATCCAATGGAAGGAAAATCATGGTCATTTATTAAAAGTAACATTAAACTTGGGTAATTTATTGTAAATTGTAAAATTCCATTAAGTGCTCATTCATCATCTAATGTTATGAGCCCATCTCCCTAACTGTCAGTCAGAAAATCATGTTTTAGCACCCTGGGCTAATTGGGGATAAATATGGTAATTAAGGAGGTTCACCAATGCTGTCTGACATGTGTGAAATATGGACAGTTTTACAGTCATGGTTCTATAGAAAAACAGATAAAGGTACATAAGTGCAGAAAAACTCACCAAAAGGATCAGCAATTTCCTCCTTGAAGTAAAGTCCGAGACTTCTCCGTTTAGGGTCCACACGCCGGACAATCTGGTCCAGATACAGAGCAAATGTGATTGGATGGTAGCCGTGGTTGGTCCCTGGTCATTAATCAAGTACAAAGTGATTATTGCGTTATATTTTCACAATGATATTTTATTCTGCTGGTATTATACATCAATAAATACAAGAACTTAAAATGAAATATAACTATACAGCCCAGGTTGTATATAGATTGAATATCACATATATTTTTTTATATAATATTGTTGTGGATATAAGGGTAGTAATATACCTGTGTCCACTAATATCTTATTTAATCTTAATTACGAAATTAACTTTTTTTTTTAAGAAATTCTAAAAATAAAATATTATTTCATCATTTAACTGATTTCAGGATTCAAATGCTAAGGGTGTAAACTTTCAATCATTTATCCAACACATCAATTTTCCATGAACATAATCAGTTCAAACATGACTGCTGGTAGCTAAAGGGTCAGGGGCAGGTTTGCAAAGACAGATCTTGCATTTGTAAAATTAACACATAAAATATTGCACCTGGTTTCCACAGTGGCCTCTGTTTTGCAAGGATTTCGCCAAGTTTGTTAGGATTATCTTGGACCATAGCCATCTGAAACTTTTCATCACAAGCAGCTACACCAGCCTAAAAAAAATAACGGGAAGCGATATACTATGCTCACAAAAACATTTAAAAGGTAAAATTTTAACATTTCAAAGTGACAAAATTGTTTTTCTCTACTATAGTACACTGCTGTCAACTGTATGCTAGAAAAACTGGAAAGCAAAATTTGGTTAAGATCCCTTTAACCATTCTTGAGGAATAGTTTTTTATGTTGAGATTTATTACAAATTTCCTATTTCATTCTCCTAACTCAAGAATGTTTAAATTTTAATATATTTATACAACACTGAAACCCCTTGGCACAGGGATGCATCCTACTAAATTCCTATAAAATCTATTTGAAATCTATGCACCACTGGGAAAACTTGACAACAGATAACATTTGTATACTGACATCCATGTTAACATATTGTTAATTAGGGAATGCAGTTCTTTACCTGGTTACTGATAAGCTGCTCCAGTGAAACACTTTCCTTTCCATTCTGAGCAAATTCTGGCCAGTACGTTTTCACCTTTTCTGCATAGTTCAGTAACCCCCTGGAGTATGGAGTAAAGCATGAAAATATACAGTTATTGCCCTTGCTGTAGGGAAACACGACTCTTCAATTGTTTCCCCAAGCTTGATCATGTTTCATAGGAGCAAAGCCAAAGTGAAATATGTTTAATCGAAGGGAAACAAAGAATCGTGTTTCTTCCTCACAAGAGCAATACATATATTATTATACTGAAATTGAAAAATAGCACATGCCATTTTTGTCTGTTTCAATCACTTGGAACTAGGGTGTGGTGCCTCTTGTTAAACTTTCTACTGAGGTAAAAACTTGAGTGTGAGAGGGATACATGATGTCTTATTTCCCTGTCATGTAATCATTATATCGTTCAATCAGAGGCATTTACATATTACAAGATACAGTCATCCAAACACATGGTCTACGATAATTATTGACTGTTTGCCTATAAACCAAATCCACCTCTTGTTGCTTGCTATTGACTTAGTTAGACAGGATCTCCATAGCTCAATCAGTTGAGTACTGGACTAGTCATGTAGGCGAGGGTTGAAATCTTAATGGAGGCCCCTTAGAAAGTGACTTCAGTTACACAGGTATTTCTTGTTTACCTGTCGACAAGGTGAGCTATGACAACAGCTGACATGGACTTTGTTGTCGAGTAAAAACAAGGGAGAGAATCCTTTTTCCAGAAGACTCCAGACTTCCCATCAGCAGTTCCTCCCCAGACATTGGCCACCAGCTCTCCTTTGTAGTAGGCAGCAAACGCCCCTCCTCTCTCCAGACCCTGATCCAGGTTATACCTGTCAAGGGAGGCAATCACATGTTGTTACATTACATTCCTGTATATATATTTTTTCTGGGGATTTCAGGATCCATGTACCACTGCAGGCAAAACACAAGAGAATTCTTCTTTAGTTTTTCATACATACAATAACTTAGGCTTAATTTCAGTTTGGATACAACTGACTGTAGCACAAGTGGTCCTGGGTACTACCACTGACTTGGTAGCTCACTTGGTTAGAGCGACAATATAATGAGCAGAGGTCCAGGGTGTGAATTCTAACTCTAGTCTTGTCCCCATGCGTATCTCATCCTCGATACTTCAGGGGTTCCGCTCACTTTCGCTCTCTGCACCCCTGGAATATGTCATAGCAAAATTGAAGGCACGAAGATAGCTGTTTGATTGGTCTCAGATAAAAAAAAACCTGACCAATCGCTAGGCTGATACCTGTTCTTTGAAGATTACCAAGGAGCGTTACCCGACTTCAAAGTCAGTCAATTTTTACTGTTACATGACCGCAAAATTCTTTTGATGTATATTAAAGGATCAAACTAGTCTTCTTGTCTCATCCACAAGTCGATACACACGGAGCCTTCAATTTTTGCTATGACATATTCCAGGGGTGCAGAGAGCGAAAGTGAGAGTAACCCTTGGAGTGTCGAGGATGTGCATATCTTAACTCAGAACACTACGTTGATTTCTTTCATTTCATCTTTACTGTTTAGGTCAGTTATTGGAAAAGTGGAGTTTATTGAATCTTTACATTTATGGAAAAGTGGAGTTTATTGAAACTTTACATTTATGGAAAAGTGGAGTTTATTGAATCTTTACATTTACGGAAAAGTGGAGTTTATTGAATCTTTACATTTATGGAAAAGTGGAGTAGATGCTCCTTTGTTTACTTTATTGAATCTTTACATTTAGTATATAGTTTTCTTTTCAGAAATGATTTATATTAAAGCTGTCATACAGAGAAAAAATCTTTCTTATGCACAGTTACAGCTTTTGGCAGTGGTACAGGTTTTTTTTCCTGATGCTTTTTTGGTGTATTTACGGCTTTAAATGATGTCAACACCAGCTAGTGTCAAGACCTCTAGCTGAACAGTTGTCTTGAAATAATTGTAAATATATATACTATAATTGTAAATATATATACTATAATTGTAAATACATATACTATAATTGTAAATTTATATACTATAATTGTAAATTTATATACTATAATTGTAAATATATATACTATTTATCTTTGTTTATCTTTGTAAAATTATTACTTGTCTGCTTCACATTAATTGTTAAATATGTATGTATGTTAATTAAGAAATACAGATGTTTGAAAGGAACCTTGAGGAAGTTTCCAAATTTTTATTTATTATTGGAATTATTCGAACGATTGTATACCTATATACCAATTAACTTACCAAGTTAATTAGCAGTACTTACTTAAACGTCTGTAGAATCTTCTCAAAGCCAGGCTTCACAAAGCCATCCACATAAATCTTAGTTTTTGCTCGAGACATATTGGTAGATTATATGTCCTTTGTGTAATCTGTAGTTTTATTCAGTAATCTGAAAGAGAATCGTGCTCATATTATGTTTTTATTTACAAAAAACTTTTTCTTAAAGTAAACATATTTCATTGATGGAAAAAATTTACAACAGTACTTTCCCCAATAGAACATAATAAATACCCTACTGCATGTACAACTATCTATGATTTTTAAAATGGATCATTTTGTATTTTTCATGAAAGAACAGTTCATGTTGGAATTAAATGTTTCTTGCATGAGACAATAATCATCTTACCAAGCAAATATATCATCAAAGTCTGCATGCCCTTGTGTCAACAGTTATTGAAACAGTATCATAAAGGAAATTATATTAACACCAGTGTCACTATTGTGGTTTTTAAATTGCATTTAAATCTACTGAAGTATTAAAATTTGAAAATTGATAATTAGAAAACAAAAACAAAACTAAAAACTACTGGGATCGAACTCTGGACTTAAACATTACCAAATCTTTCATTTTACATTATGTTGCTATTAAAGAATAATGAATGCACATCATCAAAATGAGAGATTAATACCTTGACAAGGGGAGTAACTCTAAACCGAAAAATAAAAATTATCAATAGGAATAATGCCACGTTCTATTGCTCGCTAGGCGGCATCATAGATTTTGAAGCATTTGAACAGTATAGACGACGACAATGTCTCAGACGTGGTTTGCATCAAAGATTCCCTTGTTATACAAATATATATTCAAGTGCACCATCTCTCTCACATAAGGGAGGTAACTCGTACTTAATCGACGAAAATACGACTTCCTGCCTTATGTAAATTACTAATATGGCATGCATTTCCTATGGCATAAACGAAATATCACATCTTTGCACAGCTAATGTACTTTGGAATATGTGCATGTGTATAGAGGTTATATCACGCCGCACTCTAAAGCTGTAGGCCAACCGGCTACGGGCTGCCCCTGTGGCTAGGCCGACCTACATTAGGCAAACTTGTTCAGTCAGCAAACTAAATCGCAGGTAAGTGCAGAAACAGTGGGCTACACAATAATATGAGTATGCTACCTGCCTCCTAGCCGAGTTCTGAGCTGTGAGTGACTGTGTCGCTGCTGTTGTATTGACGGTGTCGAACTTTAGCACTGGTGTGTCAAAATGTAGAACACACAGCTCTGTGTTTACCGAGTTATCTCCCCTCGCCAGTATCTCATCATGATTACTGTACAAGATGGGAAACAATGCGTTATTTATCAATTGTAACGTTACCGATACAACAATTCTACCTTGAAAGAGAACCTTCTGATTATTTTCTTACGAAAATTAATATTGATGAAGTCCGGATTATTCGAAAGCCGAATGGAAGATGACGTAAATTAAAATAAAAACAGAAACAAGAAACGAAAAGCAGGCTTGTATTGTTCACCGCTAGTTTCCTGTGCATTGAAAAATGTTTCAAAGATGGTGACTGTTGGAGCAAGTATGGAATTTAGAGCAGCCACTCCACACTTCACATGCGTGGCTTAAAGTGACTAAAATAAAGCTAGTGTATATTTTTGACAAAGTTGTTTTATAATTATTTGAAATAAATTTCAATTGTTTTAACGCATGAACCTTTTTTTGAAGCAGCCTAATAAATACTTTCAATGTGATCTCCCCATTTAGCACCAGAGCCAAACATTACGCCTACATGTCTAATACATATCTACAAATTCCAAAGTGGAATTATTAAACTCTAGATCAATTACATGATCAGTGTTGTAGTATATACGTGTCTCTGGTCAATGTTAGATATATATAACACTTTAGTTTTTTCTGGGCTAAATTTGATAAACCATTTTCCCGCCCACTCCCGCAAACAGTCTAAGTCCTTATTCATTATTATATCTCTACAAGAAAAATAGCTATATATCATGGACGTGTCATCAGCAAAAAACCCAGATACACTAATTAAAGTGTCTGCAATGTCGTTAATATAGATTAAAAGTAGTAACGGCCCTAACACGGATCCTTGTGGTACTCCCACTTTAAGTGTTTGCTATCAGAAAAGAATTCACCAATAAATACGTTTTGCTGCCTATTTTTAATGTAATTTTATAACCATTTCAGAATTGATTCAGAAATACCATAAGATTTTAATATTTGAAGAAGACCTAAATGCCATACTCTATCAAATGCCTTTGATATATTGCAAAAAAGCATACATGTATGTTTCTTTTCTCTCTTAGGTTATGACAAATATTACGATAAATTTTTATCAATTGATGGATAGTTGAGTGTTTAGGTAAAACTCCGGATTGTTTTTGGTAAAATAATGAGTTTTCAAAAAAAAAATGTATCTGTTTGGCAATCACACGTTCAAACACTTGCCTCCTGAAGAAAGTAAAGAGATAGGTCTGTAATTTGAAGGTAGGCTTTGTTATCTTTCTTAAATAGTGGCATAACAATAGCTTTGTTTCCCTTAGATTTGGATACACGCATTGAGATAGGGACATATTAAACAATAATAATAGAGGTTTACAAACTGTTTTTACTGTATTTTTTTTAGTATATTGTGACTTATACCATCTCTACCCGGGGCATTTTCTAATTTTAAAATCTGAAGAACATCAACTTATATCTTCAAAATTTAAATGTATAGACTGATTCATTAGTTTAGTTTCTAGTTCTGCTGTGACCCTTAGATAGGTTGTCAACTGGTTTATGGCCATATACATAAACTACACGTAATTGGTACATCTGATGTGTAAGTCATAAAACAAGACTATTAAAAAATAGGAACAATCACCGTATCTTAAATCAACTCGTCAAAAAAAAAAAAAAAAAAAAAAACCATTTCGAATTCTGGCGGGATGGACTGAAATGTTTACGATTAGAAAAGAACAGACAACTGTGCGACATACTTTATACAGGGAGATAACTATGTGCAACAACCAAAATTTTGACATTATAAAGGGTTTTTCCAATATACTGAAGCAGATTTATGAAGAAAATGGAAAAGATATTCATAAAAGGGACATTAAGATATGTTAGCAGTAAGCTAGCCTTATAGCTATTGAAGGCCATTAAATAAATATTTTATTGCTTAAATTCTGGTATACTTAATATATATCGCCCGAGTATACCCGAATTACATTTATCAAAAGTCAGATATCTTTCTTTGATCTTGTTCTTTCTTTTCTTGATGTCTTTCTAGAGTAAAGACACTCACAATGAGGTTATAAAAAAGCGAATCCAGCTATTGTATTAGGTCCCATATCCGATTCCTCATATGCGAAAGTTAAAAGTTGTATAATTAACTTCCAACAAAGAATTAGGTCTAATCGAATACGCTAGTCCAACTCGTCTTAAAGACGAAAATCAAGTTAGTACTTTTAAACGAGATGTTACGGTTGGATTAGAGAGGGAAGATAACTGCACGTCACATTTATACAGGGAGATAACTCTGCGCAACAATAGTATGACGTAACGTCAATTGTTCAATATCCCCCTTCACAACAGGCGTCTAACTAAAGTAACGACACATTTTTTTTCACCGGATAAAACGATAGACCAGTATTTTTTTACACACCATGGACAACAACAATAACAACCAGGTAATTTAATATCCAAGGAGGATAATAATTTGTCTAGGTCAGACTTGATAGACTTTTTTTTTTTTTTTAATAAATAGCCTTTTTATAGCATATTTTTTTCTTATTCTGAATTTGCGGAAAATTTGTTGCAGATTCTTGACGTAGATGGTTGGCCGAATGACGTATATGGATTTTTGAGGGTGACACGGTCAAATGGATTGAACATGTGGGTCACTTTCTTATTGGAGGACAAGGTGAGCTTTAAATATTTTACACACACATATGAATATTGTATAAAGAATCCTAAATGCACTGTATTTCGGGCAAATAGGAACAATGTGAACAACCGCTATGAGGTAAACGAAAGTTTCAAATTCAACTTGACAACGTATAATGATTTCAATAAATAGTCTTATAATTATTTTGTACAATCATCACGGAAAAAACAATTAAAGCTTTTTGTGTAATCGGTATATTTTCATTTTATTCTGAAAATGAAATTCGCTTTCAAATTAAGTTTTATTTCACGTTGTGTATTTTTGCTTGATTAAAGGTTGAACTCAAAGACACAAATGACAAGAAACGATGTGGATTACCTGATATCGAGAAGGAGGAACGGAATGTAAATGATGAAAAGCGGGTGAATGAGGAGGAGGACGGGGTGAATGAGGAGGAGGAGGAGGAGGAGGAGTATTACAACCCGTACATTCGGTTGTTTGCCGATTGTGAAGATTGGGGATATGGTGACGGTATGCCTGCGGCCTGGCGACAATAAAACGAGGTAAATTAAGTTTTATTTAGTTTTTATTTCCAAAAGCTCATCAAACATGCATGAACGAATATTTAGTGTTTATTAGCTGATCTCAATTCTTCTTAATCTTGGGGTTTCACAATGTTTATTTATGTACCCTGTTGTCTCCATTTATCTATGAATTCACGTATACATATATATAAACGTGTAACGGATGATTTTGTTTTCTAAAATGTCATGTGTTTTCTTTATATTTCAGTTCACAAAAACCTCTTGAGAAGTCGATCGCGCTGGCGACCTATGAGATGCAGCATGTTGCATGGTTGAGCTGACGGACCCGGAACCGCCTCAGAATGAAATTTATCAAACAGATGATTTCACGTGGGAACCCCTCCCCCCTATTAACTTTATCATACATTATGTATAATTTACACACATATCTAAACGGTATTTAGACGATTTTTTTTATCTTCTTTCATATTATATAAACGAATTACCATAAAAGACACTTTTCATATAATGTAGGGTAATTCGGTGGCAAGCATTAGTGAACATTCTTTTTGTTTGTACAAAGAATTATCAGATCCAAATTGCATGATATAACTATAGTTTGATATATTTTCTTACCTTTCGGTATAGCCAGAGACGTATATAACACATGGCTTTACACGGCTCTGGTATAGCCTACATTTCTATTATGGTCTTTGTGATGTATCTGCGAGTACATTTAGAGGTGACACTTATTTACTGTTAAACAGCTTCTTTGTACACATAATATGATTGTTTTATCAATAAAATATGTTACATTTGAACTTGAAACTCGTGTTTGTTCTTTATCTACCTTCGTTTGTATTAAGATATCGTTTTCTTCTTAGCTGGTTTGTCGCAACTTCTCCGTCAGTTCCGTAAAAGCATGGAACAATCGGAAAACCTCTCGGGTCTTTTCCGATAAATTTCACTGTGCATGCCGGAAAGTCCCGAGTTGTTTTACCTTTGAGGCCAGTATCCTTAACGGAATGGGCCGAAATGTTAAAGTTATCTCTTTCCCAGAAAACTGAAATTCAGCGAGCTATTCAGGAAAATAGATCTTTCAACATGATGCATTTTACGTTTGAGATATTGAATGGAATAAAGTAAACCGGAAGTTGACGGATTTAGATATGTCGGTATGCCAAATCTAATAATAATTGATGCTAAAATTTGAAACATTTGAAATTTCTTAAAACGCAGATCAAGTTAGAGAGTCCCTGTTTTTCTATACCATCTTCATTAACTGAATGGCTTAATTTAAATTTAAAACAATGTGTTATATTCTTTTCCTCGTTCGTAACCAGTATCACAAACTGAATATTCCAAAATCGAAAAAGTACATCTCTATTCTTGTAGGATTTGTTTTTTAAGGAGGAGAGTCCCTGTTTTCTTTATCATCTTCATTGGGTTATTTTCTTAAAATTGAAACAAAGTGTGATATTGTTTCCTCGTGCACCTTTGTACCGTACCAATATTTTACGCTTCGCTTCCTAGTGAATTCACAAATATTCCCACACTGAAAAAGAACATCTCTATTTCTGAAAGATAATAAGTAACGAGTTGAAAAATAAGCTGACATATGATTGGTTTGGTATATTTTGAGGTTTGTTAGTATCTTCAAATAATCCTGTGAAAATTAATATTTTTACTTGCAAATGCTAAATCAATGCAGCAAGTGTGTGTTGAAAGCATGTTATGCTAAATATGTAAATGTTTACCGAGCTGTCTGATCAAGGCTTGGGCTTTGTTCGAAATCCAGTTACGAACAACAGTGCTTTTAAAATTGTTGAACAGGTGATCTCTGTAACGCAAAACAAAGGTGACTGTTTCCGGTTCCTCTACCTGCCCTATTGTTGATGGACTAAGTACTGCAGTTAGCGACACACAACTTTCTTTGCCCATACGCTTTTATGAAAGAAAATGTTGCATGAAAGTTTTTGACCTCTTTGACTTTGGTTAAATGTGTTCCGTTTAGGTCATTTATTGATAAGATCTGTTGCTGGGGTCACGCATCTTCACATGCTAATGCTCCTATAGAAGTACTGTGTGTTGCATGCTTTTGTTAGTACGACCTTTGGCATTGGCCTCTGTGACCTTGCTTTAGTTCTCAGGTGTGGAAGCGGCATCCAGGGCTTTGAGGCACATTTCTAGCTAACTCAGTAAAATCATCAACAACCACACATAATGCATGTTTTATAAGGATCTAACAGTAAGCTTACTGCTAATGTATATGTTATCCCCCCACCCCCTTTTTTCGATATTTTATTTGGAAATTTTACACATTATCAGACCATAAATAATGTAAATCTTCAAAATAAAATAAAAATCGAACGGGCATTGAGCTACGGTTCTCGCAGCCAGCGTTTGGTACACTCAGTAAAAAAACAAAGGAGGGAAGGAGCTCCAAGTCTAAAATGGCCCCAATGAGTTTCCAACGGCAAACAAATCTCATTCCTGGTGGGTCACAAAAAGGCTTGGCATTTAAGGAAAGAAATATAACGATTTGTTTTAACTTTCGTTATTCCCGCGGAATTTATTCATTCTACACATATACCAACATAAAGGGATTGTAATGTTTATCGACTTCTGGCAAGAGTTGATCTAAATGATGAAAACATTTGATAATACTGTTACATGTACTCCCCTTTGCATCAACCTATTTCACATCATACTTACCGAGACTAATTGTCAAGCCCCTGTGATTATGTGTGCACTTTCATCCGTCTAATTACAACCTATCTGTTTCAAAAGATAAGGCGGACATATATTTGTAACAGACTTTATAATTTAGAATATGCTGTTCCCACATTTTGTTATTAAAATAATATTCCTGTTAAAGAAAGACCCAGTTTACAATCATATTACTGAAAGGTTTACGAAAAAAGACCTTGAAATAAACTGGCACCCCGATATACCGCCACCTTCCTTTCAAGGACATTTTGGCGGTTCAACGAGTTGAAACTGTCCCTGTTAAATGACAGATGGATCATATCCAACGATTAACAATGAAAATCCGAATATTAACATACACAATCGCTCATTGAAGACTCATTAGTTCGGAAACATGCAAGCTATACACTTTACTAGGAAGTTTTAGATTTGTAATGTAATGTAAATGTTCAAATAATGACTATTCTTAATATAGTGCTTTATAGTATCAAGTATTTGTATTGTGTGATAAGTGAATGTTATGTGTATGCAATATATTGCGTGATTTGACTTCTAAACATGCCCTAATATGGAGTGATGGTTATATCTTTGTATTGTAATGTTATGACAGACTATATGAAAAAAATCGTAATGATTGTTTTAATTTTGAGTGATGCTATTGATGTTTATTTAACAGACATCCCGATTTTTCACATGTATGAAAAAACATAGACAATTGGTTGTCTTTTAATTATTTCCTTAATTTTATACCCCCAACTTATTTAAATTTTGATATATCACACGCACAGATAAACTACAGAACACACATGTGTGACCTGTGGGGTAAGTTTGAAACTGAAATGAGAACACCCATTTACGAGTACCGCGGCGAGAGTGTCAGCTTTACGTGCCCGTATACAAATTACAGGTTACTTACAATGTCATGCAGAAGAAAATGAACGAATGTCATTGTATCGAAATGTTACTGTCCAAATAGGATTTATCAGTAAGCCAACGTCTTTCTGAACATCACACTAATTGTTTTGATTTCTTTTCTTATTTTTGCTGATGTGCTTAGTTTTATGATAAAACAGTTGTATCATCTCGGCAAACTCGTAAAAGAAAGAAAACTGACTTCGTACTTTGATAGATTTGACCGAGATGTTACGATTGAATTAGTAATGGGCAGATAACTGCGCATCAGACTTTGTGCAGGGAGATAACTCTGCGCAACAATAGTATGACGTTACGTCAATTGTTCAATTTATACCCTTCACAACTGAACAGACGGCTAGCTAGCTAAAGCAACGACACGAAATTTCTCAGGATAAAACTATAGACCAGTATTTGTACACACCATGGACAACAACAATAACAACCAGGTAATATGTATGAGAAGGAAGATATTTTCTTTTTGATATGTGGGTAGCCGAACTGGAGAGTATATAGTTGAGTTTAGATAACAGACTTTAAACTAGCATGTTTTGCCAAGTATTCTAAAACTCGCTGTAAAACGATAAACTTCTTCCTTTCTCTTTTTATTTTATCCTATTTTCCCCATCTGGTTAAATTTTGGATAGAATACTGTACAGTCGATATGTATTTTGTTTCAGATTCTTGACGAAGAAGGATGGCCGAACGATGTATATGGGTTTCTGAGGGGGACTCGGTCAAATGGATAGAACTTGTGGGTCACTTTCTTGATGGAGGATAAGGTAGGCTACATTTTACAATTTCTATTTAAAACTGTAGACACCATACCTTGTTTTCCATACGAAACTAACTTACCAGAAAAATATTCTATTAAGTTTGTACGATTTTGCTTTATCAAATCTACCAATATCAACACGATAGTCACTATATTTTCTATAGTCTGTTCTGCAAACTTAATATGCTTTTTTATGATGTTAGTTTGACTTATTGTGTTTTTTTTCTTTCATTTAAGGTCGGACTAAACGATACAAATAACGATAAACAAAGTAGATTTCTTGAAATCGGGAAGGAGGAACGGAATGAGATGGTTGAGGAGCAGATGTCGGTGAATGAGGGGGAGGAAGGGATGAATGAGGAGGAGTATTACAACCCGTATATTCGGTTGTATGCCGACTGTGAAGATTGGGGATATGGTGACGGTATGCCAGAGGCATGGAGGCAATAAATCGAGGTAAAAAAAATGTTTTTTTTTTTATATTTCCGACAGCTCATAAATCATAAGATGCTTACACGAATTGAATGTTGCTTTAAGCCTCTCTAATTTGGTTTTTCACTAGATTTAATTTTGAATTATTTATCGTGTACATTTTCTCCTTTTATCTTCGTAATCAGGTTTAAACATGTTTAATGGGTAATTTCATTCTTTGCATTTCAGTGCACAAGACCCTTGACGCTAGCGACATATGAGATGCAGCATGATGATGCGGGGGCTGTCGGACCCGGAACCCGCCTCAGAATGAAATTTATTGAACTGATGTATTCATAACGTTAAAAATACACGCTCCTTCGTGTATATATTGGTGATGCGCTTTCTGCCAAAGAAACGTTACGGACTGTGACGAAATCGAACAAGATTTATTGACAACAACATACTGCAAATTGTTTTGACTTCGCGCGGCGTTATTTTCGGGATATTTGTAGAGGATTTTAAATTCGTTTAGTGCTATATTCCCGGTTTTAGCATGGTTAGTATGTACCGTAAATTATCAAGAAATAACAACTTTCATATTGACTGTCGTGGAATTGTACGATATGCATATATTTGACTTTGATATGTTAACTTTTTTTTCAAAATTGTTCGCTTATTTTATATATTCTTTGTTAAACAATTCTCGTGATATTTTTCTACATATTCACAGATGATTTTGTTTTATAACATTTAAAAGCTGGCATGTATACATTGATTTGAATATGGTTTGTTAATAAACAGTGATGTGTATTAACCTAAACACGTGTTTGTTATATTTCCCTTGTAACTGAAAATGTATTTTTTTGCTGCTGGCTGGATTTGTCGCAACATTTTGGCAAACTCCGTCAAAGTTCGGAATAACAGGATCAACTTCCGGGAATTGCTGGCATAAGACACACTGTGCCTGCTTGAAAATCCCGAGTATTTTCTGATTGAGTACGAAATAAAATCATCAAACCTCGTTTGTTTCCGTATGTTTTGACGGAATTGACCGAAGGGTTTAAATTGGCTCCTATCTCTCTATCAGAATTCTAAAATTTGGCGGAGCTCTCAGTACAATATCACATAAAATGTTTTTATATACTTTTACTTTATTTGTTTTAGAAATAATCAACACAGGTGCATGTATTATGATAGAATACATAACGAGGCCATTTTCCAACATTTTGGAATCTCGAGTTGTTTATTCCAAAATTATATACAATAATAGGCTGATTATGTCTATTCTACCACGTGGAAATAAAATTGAATGTTCCTACATGTACGTCTAGTTAAGGGGTGTAGAGAAGAGATTTGTATCGAATGTGGAACCCCTGTATTTCGAAGATGTGTAAAACTGTTTTTGTCA